TATATATATAGATCTATGGAGAAAACGGCTCTGAGAAAAACAAGGTTAATGATGGCGTCACAAACAGACGCCGACGTATTACAACTTCCTGTTTCGGGAAGCGCTGAGTTAGGTTCTTGTTTGCTACCCAGCTAGTAAGCTTGAATGTCCAACAGGATTGTGTATAACCTTAGTGTCCGAATGTTTGTACAGTGTTAACAAGCAAAAAGTGCGACTTACTGCAATTGGTGAAATAATGTCGGACAGTCCTGGTGGGTATTGTTGTATACTAAAGCGAAGTAATTAGCCAACTATTTACAGACCTACCATGCTAGCTTCAGATTGCTCAAATCGACATATACGCATAAAATATGTCTCTTGTTGGTTTGTCTGAACGGTTTTATATGTCTGTTTCGAATTATGAATGATTTTCGTGAATTTTTGCCATTATTAAACTGCTGTTTTGATATTAAAAACAAAGTTACCAGAATGTGTCACGACAGCAAATTTACATTTACTCACAGAATGTACGTTATTTTACGTAATTACGTAATGCATTGTTATTCTGCTTTTGTTTTACTGAAGCGTGACATCTTAATTTACATTAGTTGTTTTCTTTTTCCTAAGTGAGGTGTAACGTTAGGTCTAACAAAATACAGAACACCATAACTTTGACGACATTTTTGCTTTTTTCATCTGCTTCTGACAGATTTGCCGCCAAGCGATGAGCAGAATTTAGAGATACAAGGCTCCGTTACTAATTGTCCTTCTGTTGTGATGATGGAGGAACAGGAGGATAGCATGTTTAGTGACCAACATTTCTGTAAGTATAAACTTAAATATGCCATTTTAAATTTAAATCTCTTTCCTTACTCTCTTTCATGCGTACCTTATACACTTTCTGTGTTTGCGATACCCTTTCCTTGTCTTACTCTGCTTTTTTTGGCAGATTGTGAGATGTGTCACCAGCACTTCATTGACCAGTGTAAGGTTCATGATCCACCATTATTCACATGTGACTCGCCAACAGCAATGGGCATTCCTCAGAGAGCTCTGCTGACGCTGCCGCAAGGCTTGGTTATAGGTCGATCAAGCATCTCTAATGCAGGGCTTGGGGTTTTCAACCAAGGTCAGACTGTGCCATTGGGGATGCATTTTGGACCTTTTGATGGAGAGGTGACCTCTGAGGAAAAGGCATTGGATAGTGCCTTCTCTTGGGTAGTGAGTGTCAACCTTACTGTTTTATTATTTGTTAAAGTTATAATTGTAATTTAAATATAAGCATTTGGCTAGACAAATTTTAATGCCATTTTCTCTCTAGATTTACAGAGGCAATAATCAGTATACTTACATAGATGCAGAGAGAGACACTCACTCTAACTGGATGAAGTAAGCACTTCTATTCGCTTTTGTTGTGCTTTGTAATTTAGCCATTTATTTGATCGTTTTCTCAATGTTGTGTCTTGCTTTAGGTTTGTGGTGTGCTCAAGGAGTGAGACGGAGCAGAATCTTGTTGCATTCCAGCAAAATGGACGTATTCTGTTCCGTTGTTGTCGTCCTATTAGCCCAGGGCAGGAATTTAGAGTTTGGTATGCTGAAGAATATGCTCAAGGACTTGGCATCATCTGGGATAAGATCTGGGATAAGAAAAGCATTTCTCTAGGTAACTACATCTTGGATTTTTATCTGCTCTGTGGCATCTTTGTTCCATATTATGAAATAGAAGTTTTTTATTAAACGTCATGCTGCATGTCCTGAGTGAATGTTTCTTTAATGTCACAATGTGCAGTTAATCCAGATGTTATTTAATAATTCCTCAATCATGTAATCCAATTGCATTTTTTTCACCATATGGCAACATTCTTCAAAATGTCATATTTTGTTTCACAGAAGAAGGAAACGCATACAGGTTTGGAATGACATAAGGGTGACTACCATTACTTACCACAATTATTCTTGCTGGCATATCCATCATTAACTTGCTGAATTATTTAGAGTGGTTACTTAATATAATTATTATTATTTTTATTTTTTTTAACTAAAGCCATAATTGTTTTCAGTCTCTATGACCTGCTCAGTCATTGCCTGGATGTGCAAACATATTATTGAAGACATACAAACCGTTGTTGTTTTATTAAATCATTAAAATGTTCAAATTATAGATATTTTTTTAAAAACATACAGTTAAGACCAATTAGATCAACGGGATTACTAATCTTTAGGAAGCATTGTTTGATTGTGTACGAAACATATTTGAAGTTAACCTGCCATAAACATTTCAGTTATATAGCTAAAAGTTAGCTATATAAAAATATAATACTAAAAATAATACTAAAAGTTAAAGGACTTAGCTATAAGGACTAGGGATAGCTAAATACAGAGAATGCTATGCATTTTCTGTTGATACCTGTCATGGCCTAGTGGCTTTCCAGTAATTTGATTTCTTTCTTTTTTTTCAGGTCCAACTGAAGAACCGGCAACTCAGGACTGTCTATGTCCTTATTGCCATTACTCCTTCCCAACAATTTTTTATCTGCGTGTTCATGTGAAGCGCTCACACCCCGATGAGTATGCACACTTTATGCAGACACAGCCGGTTGAGTCTGTAGACATAGACCAGTGCCTTCTGGCCTCTGATGCAGCTCCTCCAACCCATATGCAGCCAATGATAGAAAGCCATCAGGGTCAAATTTCAACCCCAAGTGGACAACCCATCCATCAGTCAGAAAAGTCAGACTGCACTGATTTGTCTGATACATGCAGTAATGGTTTGAGTGACCAGGCAAACTGTGTTGCTGAGGTCTCGGGTGAAATTAATAAATGTGGTGAGTGTGGCCGTAACTTTTTGAGATCTTGTCATCTGAAGAGACATCAGCGCACTATTCACTCCAAAGAGAAGCCTTACTGCTGCAGCCATTGTAGGAAGTGCTTTAGTCAAGCAACAGGGCTGAAAAGACACCAACAAACCCACCAAGGGGAGGAAAAGCGAGAGAAAGTTGCTGACAGACCTTCTGATATATACCCTTGCACAAAGTGCTCCTTCTCTTTTGTGGCCAAATCCAATTTATATCAACATCTGAAACGCCATCACCATGGAGAGTACCTCAGATTAGTTGAGATCGGCTCGCTCACAGCAGGGACTGAGGGTGAAACAGAGACTAATTCTGAGAAGCATGACCCAACCTATGAACCTCCTACTCGAGCGAAGAGGTCCATGAAGAACACTTTGAGAGGCAGGAGTCACCCTAAAAAAGTGTCTGTTGGCCGACCAAGAGGACGACCACCTAAAAACAAGCGTGTAGCTCAGGATGAAGTGCTTATCTGCACAGAGTGTGGACAAAGGTTCTCTGATTTAGAGACACTAAAAACTCACCAATGTGCAGGACAGGATAATAATAAGATAGAGGAACCACAGGAAGCAGCAGATTCTCAGCATGTCTGCGGTGAATGCCTGAGAGGTTTCAGTAATTTTGATCTTCTCAAAGCCCATGAGTGCATTCAGCAGGGAGACGGATCTTACTGTTGCTCTCACTGCAACCTTTACTTCAACCGTTTGTGTAACCTTCGTCGCCATGAGCGCACCATCCACTCCAAGGAAAAGCCCTACTGCTGCACCCTGTGCCTCAAGTCCTTCACCCAGTCTTCTGGCTTGAAGCGCCACCAGCAGAGCCACTCACGCCGCAAAGCCCACCGCCAGAGCTCAGCCCTTGTTGATGCCAGCATCTTTCCCTGCACATACTGCCCCTTCTCCTTCACCGATGAGCACTATCTTTACAAACACATCCGCCGTCACCATCCAGAAATGAGCATTAAATATCTGAGTTTCCAAGAAGGGGGAGTTTTGTCTGTTGAAAAGCCTCACAGCTGCAGCCAGTGCTGCAAGAGCTTTAGCACAATCAAGGGCTTCAAGAACCACAGCTGCTTCAAGCAGGGGGAGAAGGTGTATCTGTGCCCAGATTGCGGAAAGGCATTCAGTTGGTTTAATAGCCTCAAGCAACACCAACGCATCCACACAGGAGAAAAGCCTCACACATGTCAGCAGTGCGGAAAGAGTTTTGTCCACTCTGGACAACTGAATGTGCACCTCCGCACACACACGGGTGAAAAACCTTTCCTGTGTTCACAGTGTGGCGAAAGCTTCAGGCAGTCGGGAGATTTGAGGAGGCATGAGCAGAAGCATTCAGGCGTGCGCCCATGCCAGTGCCCTGATTGTGGAAAAAGCTTTAGTCGGCCACAAAGTCTCAAAGCTCACCAACAGCTTCATAATGGCACCAAACTTTTCCCCTGCACTCAGTGTGGAAAAAGTTTTACTCGTAGATACCATCTCACCCGGCATCACCAGAAAATGCACTCCTGACTGAAGAAGTAAAGACCCTGATGAATTTATGGATGTCATTATGAAAAGCTTGTTGTTCCTGTTTTAAGATCATCTTTAGTTCATCTTTAAGTTCATTTGAGGCAAAATTATTTAGCCATTGAAAAGATCCTGTTCTTGCTGAGACTGGTAGACGGGTCTGAACTAGGCATTTTTGAGTATAACATATTGGGGCACAAAATTGCTGGGTGTAGTTGGTCCCCAAAGAGTGATCATAGTAAAATAAATTTGTAAATGTATGTGTTGCAAGATGTTTTCTTTTAGTCAAGAAACTTCAAAGCTGGGCAAATGAGGGTTTTGAGAATGAGAACTTTTGGTTTTGCATAGATGCATAAATGTTAAGGTATTTTTTAAGTGACATCATGTCCCTCCTTGCAACAGAAAATGCTTACGATCATCTATTGATGTGCTTCCGTTAATCTTTTTAGTTGGCATACAACTGATCTTAGTTGCATTTAGTATAGTTGATCTCCCTTTAAATAGTGGGACGTTGCACAGATAACTACTTTTAACCATGATTTACTGTGATCGTGATGTTGCAAAACTTGCAACCTGAAACCTTTTTCATCAGTCTGGTTTGCCACTAATACTCTTTTCATTTTGCTTTTATTACAAATGGGCCTCCTAAAAGAAAAATATTTTGATGCTCATTTGTACGCTGTGACCGTGGTTGCTGTCATGTGTCTTTGCCATACTTTTATTCTGTATAAAATGCTACGTGTTTATTGTCTATTTTAAATTCATCTTTGTCACAATGTGCACAAGCCAGGTAGAAAAAACCCTCTCCACCACTGACCTTGATCACACTAAAGAGCTGGTTTATTATAATGATACATGTAAATGTGATGTTTACAAGTTGAGATCCCTATATAGATATTTCTATTATAAATTATAAGGTATATAATTTACATTATACCAATTTTAAATATAGATATTTTAATTATGATCATATAGTATTGCAAGGGCAACACCTGGTACATTCGGTAATTCTACCATTCAGTGGCTGACTGTGCTTTTTAACAATTTACTGTTCATTTAACATTCCAAAATGTGGGTCTGCTGACCTACTTTTAAAGATACCATAAAGATCACATCTGTTTGTTCTTGTTTAGGTCATGATTGAGGTGTTTACTAACTCTGAAGGCCTCGCTGAAGTGCTTCATGTACTGAATTGTGAGTGTTAACTTAAGATTTATATATAATACCATCTGTCATTGCTACGAAGTTTCTACAAAAAAAAACCTTGGATGTTAAGATATTAGTGACCATTTCAGAGAGCTAGAAGATGCTCATGCATTGTTGACATGCACATTGGTCCTATGCAAATTTCCCATCTTCTCCGAAACAATTTAACATTTAAATACATTTATAAAATAAAATAATTAATTGAAAGCTTTTTTTTTTTCATTTTGCCCATTGGTATAATGTTTGACTAACAAAGAGTTCTCTAATGCAGAGTATGTATTAAAAATATGAATTTAATCTGTATTTTTTCTCAATTTGTACCACAGAGGCAGTCATATTAAACGCTGTGTTGAATGGTTTGGTTTTTGCTCCGTTTAATACTCTCAAGATTTTACTGTAAAACTGAGCAAAGAACACTTCATAAGATGCTTAGGTTAAAAAAGACGAAAAATCCTCTGGTCTCAGATCTTTGAGGGCTAAGTTTTTTAGATATTTCATTTACTTTATTTGAAATAAATGAATTATATTCTTGATAACTTAAGAAAGATCAGATCTTTGTCAGCAGAAAGAAGTCACTTCAGAGTTTAAAGCTTTGCCATACTTCTTTTTGTAGGTGATTGTAAGCTACGCATGTATCAGTTCACTCCCTCTAGTGTTAGGTAATGTGAATGTCCCCAGTTTTGATCATCATTGAACTGCAAAGCAGTCTCGGATACATTGAGTTTATATAGTCATTGTAGTTGCTCTCTTAACAGATTTAGTTTGAATAAATAAAAAGTTTAGGACTACCATTATATGTCCATATAAGTTATTTTGAGCATATAAAAAAGCATGTTGTGCCACTTGAAGAAAACAAAGCAACCTTTGTTACAAATCCACAGTTGACTGTTTATTTCATAAAAGCACATTAACAAACCACATGAGTGTGTTTTCCATACAAGCCTTGCACTGAAAAATAAAAGTTGTTTACATGCCTCATCAATTTAATTTAGTCCTGTGTAAAGACTTAACGATGACATACTAAATACTACAATCACAATCATTTATATTTCTTTGTTCCTTCATACATTTCACATGATTATGTTAACAAATAATCTTCCTGTAAGATGTGGAAGTCACTGCCATTGTATCTAGGACATATTCTTCCAACAGCTAGTCTAATAAAAGTGTGCTGTATTAGGTTTAATCATATTGAACAATTCATGAGGCATATTCATTCCAGGCAGTAGAATCATGATTTTGTCCACTTTTCTTAAATGCATCCAGAGTTCATTAAACTATTGTGGCCCATACAGGTCAATCTCTTAACTGCATTTACATGTAAACCACACTCATTTAAAAACAAAAAAGGAAACTATACACATGTGGAGGCCAGTCCCATAATCATACATTATTATTATTACCAGTGTCTGGTATAGCTGAACAAAAGAACAGTTCTACTGGGGAGGGGGAGTAGCAAACACCTTTTTTGCCTCTGTAAAGAAGGTTTAAGGGAAGGCCTAAATGAACACTTGAGAGTGACTATGAACAGGAGTAATACTGAGAAAAAGGCAGCAGTTGGTTTTTAAGGTTTAAGTCACCAAAACCTTGCACAAGAGGTAAAGTGTGGACTGCTATAGGTAGAAGAGAGGCATATGGAGAGAGGTGTTTATGTAAACCCCTTAAAAATCTGGCTATATAGTAAGGCTAAGCTAAGTATGTGTGTTGTTTTTTAATGACTTCAAAAATTGAGCTGAAATACTTCATCCTTAACTGGTTCTTTAAAATACCATTTTTAGCCCAGGTTCCCGCCATGCTACCATGAATGATGTGCTTCCCATTTTAAATTAATATATACTTCTAAAGAATCTAGATGAATCATACTTACTGTTTTATCACATATACAACAGGTCTTCCTAAGGAACGTCCCAGGAAAGACATCAGGATAAAAACGAAATAAAACAGAATCGAGACTTTTAAGGTACAGCAGCAAGTGGCAGGTCATTACTGGAGTTTCAGAAATGGATGACTTCAAATACAAGATGTTGTTTTTACCACTTCTGGTAGAATCAGTGTTCCTGTTTCATTAGTTTCAGGACTGCAGCCCGGAAAAAAATGTTTACTGTAGTATTTTGTTAATGAAAGATCAGTCTTCTGTTCTGCCAAATGTATGTTGTTAAAGTAACTTTTGTTGTGTACATTAGAATATTACAGGAACAACTTAGGCAAAACTATCAATGACAGCCGAATCATTATCTAGAGTTAAATATAAGGAAAATACAAAGGGTTTTAAAGAGCAAACACTGCAGGGTGAAACAATTATTCACAATACTAAGAATGAATATAAGAAAAATGTCGAAAAGCATAAAAAGCCTGAAATCAAGGTATGGAAGAATGAAACTCTTGGGCTTACTGACAATAACAAAATGGACAAAAGTACAGATTCTCTGTTTCCCCAGTTCCAATTCATTTACACTGAAGTAGGTATAATTTTAACAATTGTTTACTTTTACGATGGATCCAGCGACTTCAACTCCTCGACCTGTGACTCAAGATCTATTACCTGTAAAAAGAGATTTTGTATATGACTGCTTGAATTTAATGGTCTAATTGAAATATTTATAAACTGTACATACTTTTTTTAATTGATGTATTAGTGGTAAGCAAAAGGATTTGATCATTACTAAATATTACAGGAATCGTCACTTTACCTTGTCTTGGAGTTGTTCTGTTTCCTCCTTATGTGAAGCTTCGGTCTCGTCTAGAGTTTTCTGCTGAGCTGTTTTCTTCTTCAGTAACTCAATCTCCCTGTATGAAAAACAGAAGGCAAAAGACACTAATAGATTTCTGAAATTATATCGAATACTTCATCAAATATGAATTAATCACTTGGCTGTATATAATCATTTTGGCCCGACGACTAAAAGAAAAACATCTTTGAAAACAATCTAGTTTAAAATGCATGTGCCTAGTCTTTAGAAAATGTGATAATTTTGACTTGATGAAATTGTGAAGTGAATCTCCTTGCATTTAAGATACACGAGTGTACATATTTTGATCATAATTGTAAAAAAATTGTTGTAATATTTTGTTTAGTTTTTTTCTTTTAAAAATGTGTTTCCTTCCATTAACGTTGTCATCATAGAATAATTGTATCTAACTTATTATCTGCATAAATTGCTTTTTTCATTTCATTTTGAATAAATTAATTGAGCCAAACAAAATGAGTGTCAAATCATGCTGTTTATATAAATTTGAAATATTTGTGTGTGTGTGTGTGTGTGTGTGTGTATAGTATTAGTATGTATGTCTTTCAGAATGTTGTTATGTAATTCTAATTGTATTGTCATTTTAAGTGTATTTATTATCCTTGGACATTAAATTAACACAAAATTACAATTAACAAATAACAAAGGTGAATATCTGGACATATATTCATCTTTAAAGTCAAGGTTCAAGCTAAACAGGACCTTCAGTAAGAATGTGGATGTGGATCAGTATCCGTGTGTTTTCTCTCACTTTTGCTGATACTCTTTTATAAGGCGTTTGGCCTTGCTGTATTTGCGTTCTAGAGCCTGGTACTGAGCTTGAGTTTCTTTCAGGTGCTCATCCACAGCCTGGCAAAGACTCTGCGCCTCCATCCAATATCCCTCCAGCTTCTCCATGCGCTCCCGGTTCTCCTGCATGTTACGCTCCATCTGGGCCTTTTCAGCACGCCAGCGCTGCTTCTCCTGCTCTGCATGATTTAGCTTCACACATGAATGCAAACAGGTGATTACTTTTTTGGACTTAGCAACATAGATCAAAACTTTACAACTGTGGGAATCCAGAACTCTTTTGTCAGAGGAAAAACGTCCATATGTGTTCTTTTGAAAAATGTAAAGGCCTATAAATGGAAAGTCTGCCATCATTTACTCACGCTAATGGCATTGTAAATCTTTATGACTTTTACCAAAATTAAGAATGTAAGCTGTAATACAATGATAATCTTCCCTTGCACCAAGCTATAAAATCTCTTAAAACGTTACCAACTTGGTGCCTCAAGGTGTTGTATCCGATTTGATGTCAGAATATG